CCCCTCCCCTCCCCTCCTCCCCTCCTCTCCTCTCCCCTCCCCTCCCCTCCCCCTCCTCTCTATTCTTAGGGTCCTGAGCAAGGCTTTTAAACCACATAGCACTGATACCAGGAAGGGAAGTGCAGAGGGCAGAGGACAGTCTTCCCTGTCTGTCAGAGCTAGGGAATGGATGGTCCGAAGACTCTTCTGGCCATGGCACCTCCACTGGCTCCCTCCTTGGTTCATGCTGCATGGCAGTCCTTTTTGGCCTCTATAAAGCATTTAGGGCATTCCAGGCACATGTGGGTTCTAGAGTCTTGGCAGAAAGCAGAATAGAGGAGGGCCTTGCTGTGGGATGACTCCCAGGGGGCAGAGAAGAAAGATAAGCAGGGATGGGCATTGATTCCAGATCAGTGAGATGAGGAGGCCTTGGCAAACCTATATGGAATGGGAGGGGCTGTGTGGGAGTCTAGGAAAGAGGTGCAGGCTTCAGAGAGCAGAGCTTGGCCTTAAATGAACAGTTCACATCTGAACACCTAGTGCTGAACAGTTAGGAGACCAGGTGGCATGAGGCCCAGAGTTAGCTGGAGACAGCAACCATAGCCCAATAGTGGTAGCAAACTCTGGTGGCCTTGGCAAGAGTGCCTTAGCTAAACTTCAGTGTATATGGATCCTTGGCTGCCCCAGAATGCTGCCCCGGAATGAAGTACATAGTGGACCTATCTGTCCTCTGAGGGCAGATAAATCAGCGTGTCCCGGTGGCTCTAATTGATGTGGACCTTTCATGGGCAGAGCAGTGGAGCAGAGACCATGTTGTGCCCAAGGCAAGCCAGTGTCTGGGGAAAGGGCTAACTACAAAGACCTTCTTAGGGAGAGGACCTGAGTCAGAGCCTTGAACGCTTGAGCTTTGGTGACGAGGCAGGCCAAGCAGTGCCACTTTCCCTCCCTAAGCATGACCAACCTTTCTTTGGTTGCAAATGAGGACTAGGTTGAGGCCTAGTTTAAGGACTATGTTTACACCACACTGACCATGCTGCAGGCCCTGGGCTAACAGCATCTTCCTGTGTAATATCTAAAAGCTGAGGTTTCATTGCTGTGGCCAGACTGGGCATTTGTGTCCTCACTAACTCTCACAAGAGCCTGCAGGCCGTGTATGTTCCATGGGGGCTCATCAAGTCAAGGCACAGAGAAAGAAACTGCTTATTTCTGTTCAGCACAGCTGGTGGAGGCAGAACAGATTGAAACAGTCTTTCTTCTGCACAATGGAATTGTCATTAGCAAGTCTCCAACTCACTTGGGCATCAGTTTACTTATCTAAGGGAAGAGGGGATCACTTCTTAGGCTTTTCCAGCACTCAGTGGTCCTAGCCTGCCCAGCCCAGTCTTCCCCTCTGTCAGTCCCAGCTCCCTCAGGGAGCATCCTCGCTCCAGCCATCTTTTCCTTTCTTCCTAGAGCTGCACTGGCTGAATGTCACCCTGGCTTGTCTTGGCCGTATGGGAGCAACCATCGTGTTGCAGATGGTCTGCCTGGTGAATGCTGAGCTGTATCCTACATTCATCAGGTGAGGCCACAGGTGGGGGTGGACCCTGAAGCAGCCATCTGATAGCCAGGCAGAGAGAAACGTTTCTGAAGAAGCCTCAAAGGGTGGGTCACTGTAGTAGTTCCTTTCTTTGCTGTGACAGGGTACCTGACCAAAGCAACCGAAGGAAGGAAGCACTGATTCTGGCTCACCCCATGGTGGGGAAGGGAGGCTAGCTGATCACACTGCCTTGGCAGCCAGGAAGCAGAATGCAAACAGGAAGAGAGGTCAGACTATAAAACCAAGGTCCCCTCCTCAGTTCCTTGTCTTAAGGGAAAGGACCAGTGAGGTGATTTTCCTGTTATTGGGTCATCTTTGTTGTTGTTGGGTTGTATATATATATATATATATATATATATTATAATATAATATATTCTGCATATCAACCCCTCATCAGATACGGGACTTGTATGTAATCAACCTTCTATTCAGAAGGCTAACTTTCCACTCTGTGAACTGTATCCCTGATGAACAGAAGTTTTAAATTTTCACACAAACCAATATCTCTTTCACTCTTGTTGTCTATGCTTTGGTGTTGAAGAACTCCTTTTTTTCCCCCTTAAAGGCTCATATACATAGAATGAAATCCGCTGTTTCTGAAATACAGCTTGATGAGTTTGGGTGACACGCGTATAATGTGCACGTACACATTATTCAGCTCCTTTTTAAATTCTGAGATAGGGTTTCTCTGTGTAGCCTTGGCTGTCCTGGACTTGCTTTGTAGACCAGGCTGGCCTCGAACTCACAGAGATCTGCCTGCCTCTGTCTCCCCCAAGTGCTGGGATTACAGGCGTGCACCATTGCTCCCGGCTTACCCTTCAGCTCTTAGCACAACCAAAATAGAGCATATTTTTACTGTCCCTACCAAGTTTCTTCATACCCCCTCACAGCAAGTCCTCTTGTAGACCTGATTTTGTCTACATAGTTTGCTTTCCCCAAATATTTTCAAGACAGAGTTTCTCTGTGTAGCCCTTTGCTGTCCTGGAACTTTTTTTTTACAGAACAGGCTGGTCTTGAACTCAGAGATCTGACTGCTTCTGCCTCCAAAATGCTGGGATTAAATATATATATATATATATATAATAGCCAGGTAGTGGTGACATATATATATATTAGTAAAATTATTTTACAAAGATACTGTACAAAGATCCTCCAGGCATGTGTAGGGGATAGAGGTCAGTGTTTAGTGTGGCCACTTTGAGGTCCTCCTGGGAGGTAGAGGCATCAAGGCAGCCTTACTTTTCTTAGCCCCTGATACTTCCCAGTATCTGTGCATGAGCTCATTGCCAGCAGTGTTTTTTGTTTTGTTTTGTTTTTTGACACAGGGTTTCTCTGTGTAGCCTTGGCTGTCCGGGACTTGGTTTGTAGACCAGGATGGCCTCAAACTCACAGAGATCTCTGCCTGCTTCTGCCTCCCTGAGTGCTGGGATTATAGGTGTGTGCCACCATGCCTGGCTTGCCAGCAGTATTTTAAGAACTTGGTTGTTAGTTATTTAAAACATACTGTGTGCGTGCATGCGTGAGTGAGTGTGTATGTGTGTACTACAGCTTGCACGAGGCTGTTTCCTTCTACCACATGGGTCTTGGGGTTTGAACTCAGGTCATTAGGCTTGACAGCCTTTACCTGCTGATCCTTACCTCTATCCCTAAGATCTTAAGTGAAGATTGTCTTAATTATGAAAGTAACTACTTTATTTGGAATTTTAAAAAAATGGCCATTATCATAACCTGCCCTTGGTTAGAATTCATCTTATTACCTTAAATTCTTTTTCCCCTATGCATAAATTATTTCTTCTCCATTTGTTCTTGTGAAAATTTCTGGGCTGGAGAGATGGCTCAGAGGTTAGGAGCACTGACTGCTCTTCCAGAGGTCCTGAGTTCAATTCCCAGTGACCACACGGTGGCTCACAGCCATCTATAATGAGATCTGGTGCCCTCTGCTGGCATGCAGGCAGAACACTGTATATGTGGTAAATAAATAAAAAATAAATCTTAAAAAAAAAAAAAAAAAAAAGAAAGAAAATTTCTAAGAAATTCTCCAGTTCTCCAGTTTTGTCTAACACCTGCAGCTTGGTGAGTCAGAAGACACAGGTATCTCCAATTGACTCTTAGCTTTCATCTGCCAATTCCTGTATTGAAAGAACATGTTTTAGACTCCTGCTAGTAAAAAAGTCACTTGGTCTATGTACAAGGAGATGAAGGCAAATTAAGGGGAAACCTTTTTTTTCCCTAGACCTTCCAGGGCTGTATAATGAGACCCTGTCTTAAAACAAAACATAACAAATGAAAAACCAACAAAAAACCGAGAGAGAGAAAGAGAGAGAGAGAGAGAGAGAGAGAGAGATCTTGTATATTAGCATTTTCAAGTCCAGAGTATAAAAACGAAATAGCTGGGACAAATAATTCTATTGTCACAGCTACCAGATCCAAAGAAACAGTCAAAGGTGCTGTGTGTTACTGTGACAAAATACTGGAACCAACTCATAAAAAGAAAAGGTCAATTTAAACTCCTCCTTTGAGAGGTTTCAATCTATGGTCCCTTGACCCTGTTGCTGTGGGCTTGGGGCTTGAGATCTTAAAATAGCACAAAGCATTATGACCAAAATGTGTGGCCAGAAAACAAAACAAAACAAAACAAAACAAAACAAAACAAAACAGAGAAATGAAAAGAGAGGACTGGGGTTCCCACCTCTCCCTTCAAGGGCAAATGCTCCTGATAACCAAACTTCTTTCCATTAGATACTATCCCCTAAAGCAGTCTTCAACCTTCCTAGTGCTGCGACTCTTTAATATAGTTCTTCATGGTGACCCCAACCGTAAATCATTACAGCTTCGTAACTATAATTTTGCTAATGTCATGAATTGTAAGTATCCTCAGGATATCGGATATGTGGCTTCCAAAGGGCACCCACAGCTTGCGAAGTGCTGTCCTAAAGGCACCATCATCTTGTTAGAGCACCAGCAGCCAGGGACCAACTGTGTAACCCACAGCCTTATCCCGACACTTCCCTAGAGAGGGATTTTTTTCTTTTTCTTTTTTTAATTTATTTACCTTTATCTTATGTGCATTGGTGTTTTGCCTGCATGTATGTCTATGTGAGTGTCAGATCTTGGAGTTATAGTTATGAGCTGCCATGTGGGTGCTGGGATTTGATCCTAGGTCCTCTGGAAGAGCAGTCAGTGCCTTTAACCATGGAGCCATCTCTACAGGCCCTGAATACTTCCCTAAACAAGAGCAGTAACCAAGTGCCTGGTCCTCCATGGAGGAGGCCAAATGCTACTTTCCTGATACAGGCTGATCACTGTTCAGACAGCTAAAAAAGACAGCCTACCTCAGCAAATGAACTCTCTGATGCTTAACCTTCACTCTCCTAGAAGCCAGCCAAGGGCCCCATGGATATGAGCAAGCTCACGTGTTCTCTGATTTAAACTGTAGCTCTACCTCACTCCCATCTCTGTGCACAAGGTGATGAATTCACAGAGAGTAGGGGAGGACAGCTGGGCATGGGGTATATGCCTTTAATCCCAGCACTCAGGGAGGCTGAGGCAGGTGGCTCATTGTGAGATGAGTTCAAGACCAGCCTGGTCTACAAAGCAAAGCAAGTCGAGTTCAGGACAGCTAAGATGATATACAGGAAAACCTTGTCTCAAAGAGAGAGAGAGAGAGAGAGAGAGAGAGAGAAAGGAGGGAAGGAAGCTGAATGCCCAGAAACTACCTTAAACATGATGCATGATGCCTATTCACACACAGCCATACAGTATTTTTTAATTTAAAATTTTTATATTAATTACAGTTTTTTCACTTTGTGTATCCCAGCTGTAGCCCTTCCCTCATTCCCTCCCAATCCCACCCTCTCTTCCTCCTCTTCTCCCATGCTCCTCTCCAAGTCCACTGATAGGGGAAGTCCTCTTCCCCTTCCATCTGACCCTAGCCTATCAGGTCTCCCCAGGACTGGCTGCATTGCCTTCCTCTGGCCATACAGTATTTATAGTCAATTAAATCAAATTCAGATGGCAAAGGCAGTCATTTCAGCTACTGGTTACTTTGTAAGCACTCCTGATTCAAAGGATTGTTGGAACCCACACAACCACGGTTCCTGTTCATCGGGATGTCTGAGCTGAGTAGTTCTCTTCACACTTTGGGCATTACATTCATTTGGTTTTGATACCAGGCATTGTCTGGTATGAATCTGGATACCATAAACGTATCCACACACAAATATTGCGTTTTCTTTCCATGTGACAACTTACCGCAGCCCTGGGGCAGGAGTCGGGTAGAGCTACAGTTTAAGTCAGAGAGCGTGTATGCTGGCCATCTCCGCCGCTTTCTTCACCGGCCTCTAGGGGTGTGAGGGCTGAGCATGGAGAGTACACTTGCAGAGGCAGGCTGTCTGTTTTAGCTCTCTGAGCAGTGATCAGCCTGCAGCCTTCTTCACACGCAGCTCTTCCCAGTCCTACAGTTTTGGGGTGGCGAGCACTAACCCATGGCTGATCTCGTGCCTGCTCTAGGATGCTGTTAACACCTTGAAGGTGATATGTGAACATGGTCTGTTGTGTCTCTGTTTTACCAGGAATCTTGGGATGATGGTATGCTCTGCCCTGAGTGACCTGGCTGGAATCTTCACGCCTTTCATGGTGTACAGGCTGATGGAAGTTTGGCAGGCCTCGCCCCTCATATTGTTTGGTAAGACTTCCCGGGCTAGCCCTTCTTCCCACCCGGTGGAGGGCATTGTGGGAGCACTCAGCAGCTGCTTGTAGAGTGAGTGTCAAGGATGGAACATGGGCTTCAGCTGTATCCTTCAGCTGATCCTGCTTTGCATTCCAGGAAATAGTGTAAGATGCAATTCTCAAGTAGTGGCCAGAGATTTTCATCCTGTGGCTTCTGAATCCATCAGTCTATCAATCCATTGTGCATACCACAGGCTGATGATCTTTTGACACAATTTCCTGCTTTCTTAAGAGTTCAGTTTCTGATTTGTGTGCACTGAGTGTACTGTTGCTAGGGTTATAATGGTGTTCATCTGTCATCCCAGCACCCTGGAGGCTGAGAGAGGACAACCACAGAGTTAAGGGCCTACAAGGGCTATATGTAAGACTCTGTCTTCAGAGAGCTAGGTGAAGGACACAAAGAGACTCGTGGGGATCAACAATGGTCTGTGTCTTCCTTGCTGATAAAGTTGGACTGGAGAATGAGGATAGGAATAACATGTTTGCTCCCAGACCTAGAACAGGAGGGTAAGACCTGCTTATCCATCAGCAGAAAGCTAGATGTTTGGTTGTGTGCAGAGAAATGCCATGCCGGACACAGGCAAAATGCAGGGGAAAGGCAAGGGAGGGAGGAAGTTAGGGAATGGGTGGAAGAGAGAGGGAGGGAAAGGAAGAGAATAAGAAAGAGACAGGGAAGAAAGGAAGAAAGGGCAGAGGGAAAGGAAGAAAGATGGAGGGAAGGAAGGAGAAGAGAAGGGAGTAATAAGGGCTTAGGCACATACATGTTGGTCTTGCTTTCTTGCCCCGCCTCCACCCTCTCTCTACACTCATGTACCTATGTACCTGTCATCTCTTTATCTATACATGCATATATCAATCATCTAGGCATGTTTCTATTGTTTGTCTTTCTTTTTTTTGTATGTATGTACTTCACACCTGTTTGTGTATCTATCACATATAATTATTTAGTATCTATCATATGACTAGGTATCACATGTCTGTCTGCCTGCCTCTATCTATCTATCTATCTATCTATCTATCTATCCATCCATCTATCATCTATCACCTAGCTATATACTAATGCATATCTTTCTATTTATCTACCATCTATTTATCAGTCATCTATCACCATCTGCTTATCTATAATAACAACTTAAAACATTTTTATATGTTTTTCAAGTTACTCAACTTCAAAAATCCGCTAATGCTTAAATATCAGCTACTTTGGAATTCTATGTTCTATAGAAGCAATATGGAGGCAAATGCATCTTGCATTTCTCTAACTATACAATTGCCTCCAGTTTTTTCCTAAATGTTCCTGATAACTTTCAAAGATCAACAGCATCTCCTCCCTGCCCTCTGGCTCACTGCACTCATTTCTGTAAGGGACCCGAACCTGTTCTAACCCATTTCCTTGGACTCTGTTTTATTTGTAGGGGTTTTGGGCCTCACTGCTGGGGCCATGACTCTTCTTCTTCCAGAAACCAAGGGTGTGGCTTTGCCTGAGACTATTGAAGAAGCGGAGAACCTTGGGAAGAGGTGAGGGCCGTGGTACTGGGATGGGAGGATGTGATCTCATCCTTCATAAAGGGTCACTGCATTGCAGCACACTCTCATTTATTCTAACTTAAAGGTCAGGGAGAGATTTTCTGTGGGCTTAGAATGAATTCCAGAGATTCTGGAGGTGAGAACAGAACTTAGCCAGTAACTGTCTGCTAGGAAAGCAGAGAACCAGAGCCTACTTCTTAGCAGACAGTGGTCCCATACTGCATCAGGACAGTGGACAGCTGTCCCATGCTGCATCAAGATAGTGGACAGTTGTTGTATGAAATTGATTATTAATATCTACTATTAATGCATGCAATTATGACGGCGGCTATTATTTAACCTGCTATTATGTCAATAAAAGAGCCAGACACCTTAGATTTTCAATATGCCTGTACACTGGAGCGAGGCAGACTATAACCCACTAAGTTATCTTTTACCTCCCAGCCGCGCATCCCATGCCGTTGGCTTTAATTACTCCTATCTGGGCTACTACCATGCATAATCCCCATAAATACTTGTGTATGCTTTTCATCGAGGCTCTGCTCCCCATCACTGATCCTCAGAGCTATCTCCTCCTAGCCACGTGGTTCTTTTTTACACTAACTATGCAATTCTGCTTTTTTCTCTCCTGTCTCTCTCGCCCATCACTCCTTCCCATGATTCTTCGGTCCTCCAAGCCCACAAACTTTAGCTCTGCCTATCTTACTTCTGCCCTGCCCAGGTTATGTAGGCAACTTTATTTAGCCAATCAGGGATAATTTGGAAGGCAAAGTTCACAAGCATTATTTCAGGTACATGATAGTCTTCTTGTGAAAGACAGCAAGGAGACCTCGGGGAGCAAAATAATGAGCAATTAAATACAAAGCACCAGACCATGCTGCAACAATTCCCCCTTTCTATCTAAAAATACATTATGTCACACAGGGTTGAGGAAACAGAAAAAAAGTGAGCCATTCTCTCAGATCATGCAAGGTCCAAAAGATACTTTCACTGACTTTTTGCGAAGATTGACCTCAGCTGTGGATGGAAGTATATTGGATCCACTAGCTAGGAAGACACTGTAAGAATCTTTAGCTTTTGAAAATGCTAATGCTGAATGCAAAGAGGTAATAAGGCATGATTAGCATTGACAGATGAACGGTTTAGAGATACAAGTTGACATTAGACCTCAATAGGAGAAGTTACCACTAAAGACTTTAGGAAATGTTTTAACTGCAGTAGACAAGGCTGCTGCACAGGGAATTACAAGGAAAACCAAATTAATTCCCAAAGGAGCCTGTTCCTCCTAGAATGTGCAAAAGATGTGGCAAAGACTGACATTGGAGTATCGAATGTAAATCAGTAACAGACAAATGGGGCAGCCCCTTATCAAAAATGCCTTGCGGGGGTGGGGGGGCTCTTGCAGACACCTATACAAAACAGAGAAAATAGAAAATACTCTTCCTCAAGATAATTAAACACCACTGCTCTGAAAACAGATATTAAAAAAACAGATATCAGGGTCAGAGCAAGTTCTATAGATAAGTTAAACAAAACAAAACAGAACAGGCCAAAACCCAAATACTTTTGCAAACTTCTATAGATGATCAGAGGCCCAAACTTAAGGTAATTCTAAGTAATACTGAGATTGAATGCATGGTCGATGCTGGAACTGATGTCACAATTATCTCTCCTAAATCTTGGCCTCCAGATTGGCCACTTCAAAAGGTAGATATCCAATTTCAAGGAGTTGGAACTTTATCTCAGATAAAACAAAGGTCAGGTGGCTTAAATGTATAGGGCCAGAAGGTCGAATAGGAAAAATAAGGCCATAAGTGGCTGATATAGTCATAAACTTAGAAGAAAGAAATCTGTTACAACAATGGAAAACACAGATTAACATCCCTCCACTTTCAGAGACAAACCAGACAACAGGCGATACTCCTGATAAAAAAATTTAATTATTTTAAAATACCATGAAAAACAGTTATATATAAATAAGATACAGCAAGGGCCGACTCTTTAGCTTTATGTTGGAGAACCACTGCTGAGACAGCACCCACAGCCTTACCACTAAGGTGGTTGACTGAACTGAGTAATGGTCTATGACTAAAGACAAATTACAGGCTCTAGAACAGTTGGTCCAAGAACAGCTGGAGGCTCAACATATAGAGGAGTCCACCAGTCCTTGGAATTCTCCTGTATTTGTCATCAAAAAGAAATCTGGCAAATGGGGGAATGTTAACAGATCTTAGGGCAATTAATAAAATAATTCAGCCAATGGGGTCTTTACAGTCTGGTTTCCCATTGCCTTCCTTGTTACCTAAGGAATGACCTATTATAGTGATTGATTTAAAGGAGTGAATTTTCACAGTTTCTTTACATGAACCTGATAGGGAAATGTTTGCTTTCTTAGTACCTACCTTTAATAAAAGCTGTCCAATAAGGAGATATCATTGCAAAGTCTTACCACAAGGAATGCTAAACTTTAAGTCCTACCTTGTGGCAATATTTTGTGCAACATCTATTAGAGGTAATTCGTAAGCAATTTCCTCAATCTATAATTTACCACTAAGTGGATGATATCTTATTGGCTGACTCAGATACAAATGCTTTAGAAAGAATATTTGACAAAAATAAATAGAACTTTGCCTTGTTGGGGATTGTGAATTCCATTGTGTAGATATACCACAATTTCTGCATTCATTCTTCAGTTGAGGGGCAGCTGGGCTGTTTCCAGCTTCTGGCTATTACAAATAAAGCTGCTACAAACATGGTTGAGCAAATGTCCTTATTGTGTACTTGAGCCTCTTTTGGATATATGCCTAGGAGTGGTATGGCTGGATCTTGGGGAAGCGCTAGATTGATTTCCAGAGTGGTTGTACAAGTTTACATTCCCACCAGCAGTGGAGAAGGGTTCCCCCTTCTCCACAGCCTCTCCAGCATGTGTTGTCACTCAAGTTTTTCATCTTGGCCATTCTGATGGGTATAAGGTGAAATCTCAGGGTCGTTTTGATTTGCATTTCCCTGATGGCTAATGACGTTGAGCATTTCTTTAAGTGTTTCTCTGCCATTCTATATTCCTCTACAGAGAATTCTCTGTTTAGCTCTGTTCCCCATTTTTTAATTGGATTACTTGGTTTGCTGCTTTTCAGTTTTGTTAGTTCTTTATATATACTGGATATTAGCCTCTGTCAGAAAAAGGGTTGGTGAAGATCCTTTCCCAATCTGTAGGCAGTCGTTTTGTTTTGATGACGGTGTCCTTTGCTTTACAGAAGATTTTTAAAAATTTTTTGAGATAGAGTCTATGTCACACTGAATGGCCTAGAACTCTATGTAGACCAGGCTGGCCTCAAACTCATAGAGCTCTACCTTCCTCCCCACCCCCCCAGCACCAGCGCTGGGACTGAAGGTGGGCCAGCATGCCTAGCGATTCTTTTCTTTTGACTTCGAAAGTGATCCAAGAATTGGTTTAATCCCTATCAGTGGTGCTTCTAAGGCAGGCACCCTCTGAACCTCACCATGAGACGTTTTGGGTTCTCAGCACCAGGTTAACCATGTGCACACTTTCTGTTTGGTTATAACTTCCTTCTTTTGGTTCTGAGTGACAGGAATGTACGAATAATGTTCTGTCATTTGATTCTGGCCCATTTCTTTATGATTCATTAGTAGCATGTGGTCACCCTTGAAGACTCTTGTAGGGCACTTTCGTCCACCCACTCCTGCCTGTAGGGGAGGCTGTGTACTTCCGGTCTGAACCCTAACTTGTGTGGCCTTTGTTCTTTTCGTTCCATCCTTAACTTAAAGGCCATCAAAAACCAGGATGCAAGCCTCTGGTGCTGACCACTATCTCTACCTATTGCTGGATCCCCTGCTCTCTCCATTTTGAGACATTCCTGCATCTTTTCATTTTATTTTTTTAAAACAAAAATAATCTCTCTCTCTCTTTTTTATTCGATGACAGTTTCATGCATGTAAATAATGCATCTTGATCCTATCCACCTGAAACTGTTGTACCAACACTTCCCTGAGTCCTCACAATGTTTTACCCTCCCTTCTTCATGTCGTCTTCTGTTCTGCTCTGTTTGTTTTTGTTTTTTGTACCCCATCTTTTTGGGAATTTTTCTCCCCTGGAAAGGAGGACTAGGTAATGTGTTTCCCCTATACAAACTAAAGTTTGATTCTACCAAAATTACTCCTGGGGAACCAATGAGTTTATTGGACTTACCTACAGATCCTGTGTCAGGGGTTATAAATAAGATCATGCTTCAAAAGCAGCAGCATTGGAAAGTCATCCCCTTGCGTGGTAGAGGATTTCTTCTAGGCTTCCTCGGTGTATGTATTCTAGCCCCACCACGAGACTCGATTGTCACTTATAATTAGGGCAGAACTGAATACAACTGTCTGGTAGGAGTGTGCATAGTTAATGCTCCTCCGAATGCCCTCCTCCTAGGAGGAAACGTCAACAGTCCCAGCTGTGGCACTCTTCTGTAAACACAGCTGTCTGAGGAAGATGCTGGCTGTTCTGCTTGGAGGATAGTACTGTCCAACACTCATGAAATCCAACTAGTGCTGCCTGTTGGGATCTTGACTGACCTTGCTGACTTGATTGTGTGCAGGTCTTGTGCAGGCCACCATGGTTATGGTGAACTCATGGGTGAAAAGGCTGGCATGTCCAGAAGGCAGCATGTTATAACACTCTCCCATCCTCTGGCTTTTTGTCCTTTCTGCCCCCTCTTATGCAATGTCCCTAAGTCTCAATGTGGCAAGTTTCATTATCAAGATGATGATTGTTAAGCTGAGCATGATAGTGTGTCAAAGCCTGTCATTCCAACATTGGGTCACTGAGGCAGCCTAATCTACATGGTGCCTGTGAGACCAGCATTTCTGCATAGTGAGGGACAGTGCAGCAAGGGCTATATTACAAGGCCCTGTTTCAAAAATCAGAAAGATCAAGATGTCGATTGTTTATTAAGTTTAGTCTTCATTTATGGTTGCTACAGGAAATCAAAGGCCAAAGAAAACACGATTTACCTTCAGGTTCAAACAGACAAACCTCCAGGTAACTGACTGGGACGCTGTGCCAGGAGCTGAGTGGCAGAGAGGAAGCAAGACTCACCATTTGGAGGATTCCCAGAAGCCTTCACCTTCCCGTACTCGTCTATGTATTCACCAGGTTCCAAATGAATTATCAACCCTAAAGGGTTTTCTGAAAGCATGTTGTCTTGTTTCTTTTGACTCCCCAAATGCACCGGTTGTATTCAATTTGTCTGTCTGTCCTGGTGAGAGCTGCTGATACTGTTGGTTCAGATGTTTCATGCCTTAAAGCAGGAGTTCTCAACATGTGGGTCATGACCCACCCCACAGACCATCAGAAAACACAGGTATTTATATTATGATTCATAAATGATGCAACATTGCAGTTATGAAGTATCAGTGGAAATAATTTTATGGTGGGGGGGTTCACAAGGAACTATGTTAAAGGGTCTCAGCATTAAGAAGGTTGAGAACCACTGTGCATTTTGAAGATCCAATAGCATTTAAGCACAGCTGCTCGGACAGGCCTCTGTTCTTGTGTAGTAACTATTATATTCATCTCTGAAGGAAAACACCTTTGCACAAGTAACTACTTACATTGTCAAAAGCACTTAAATTGGAAATGGCTTGGAGGGCAGTTTGTGTTTAGAAAAAATAGCAGTTCCCTGCCATGTTCAGTACAAGTGATGGGGACACACATGACCCATGTTCCCAGACCAGAATCACTATGACTGTTTTAGAAAGACACCTCTTCCACCTGTGTTTCGGGACCATATTGTTCTGTATCACCCCAGGTTTTGTTTTTTATTGGTGAGTCCAGAAGGTGAATTTCCATGTGATTCATTTTGTCTGGAAATTAGAGTTTGGGTTGCACATGGCTCCCTGGGTTAGGAGGTTCAGAGGTTCAATACGCTCTGGAGCTTGGAGGTTATAACGCCTGTGATAATCAGTGTCAGCATCAGATAGAGACCAAAGGTGCGAGCTTAGATTAGCTATCTGGAAGGGAGAGAGATAGGAGTTAGGATAAAACCCAGGATGAGGAGAGAGAACAAGTAATTCTCGGTCATGAAGAACTGGGAAATTACTGGCAAAAATGTCAGCCACCGAGCTGCTCATAGAAGGGAACCGTGTTTCTGTTCCTCTAACATACAAAACTGGTAGGAGAGATACCTCACTTTGGAGGAAATCCGCTGCCGCTCGGCAGGTTCAGACACTTCAGTGTGTCAGCTACTCCAAGCCTGCTGTCTGAAGAGCTGTGCTGTGTTTACATCTTGGTGTGTGTGGGAGGGTGAGAAGGGACTCTCCACCTCAAGAGGATAAAGCCCTGGAAGATGTATCCTCGCTGCTCATGGTCATGGCATGTCACTGCATGCACATTCGTGCTCTTATACATTTGCATAAGTTAATATAAACAAATAGACTATGAGGCTTGCAGGGTATGCTGTCAATGTCTCATGATGGTGATTTCCCAGCATCCATGGACTGTTGAATTGTTTATGGTCTCTTTGTTTGGGCACCTAAAAAAGTGCTTATTTATTTATTTCTTTATTTATGTGTTTGTTTTGAGATAGAGTCTTAAGTAGATAAAGTCTTAAGTAGCCCTGCACTTGCTACAAAATGTCTATTAATTAATTATTTTATTCATTTTGAAATAGACTCTTAACGTAGATCAGGGTAGTCCTGAACTTGATATAAAATGCATATTTATTTATTTATTTGTTTGTTTACTTTGAGATGGAGTCTTAGGTAGATCAGGGTGGCCCTGAACTTGCTACAAAACGGTTATTTATTTTAAGATAGAGTCTTATGTAGATCTGGCTGGTCCTGAACTTGTTATGAAATGTCTATCTGTCTGTTTATTTAGCGATAGAATCAAAAGTAGATTAGGGTGGCCCTGAACTTGTTAAGTCGTTGAAAATAAGCTTGAACTGCCGCTCGGGTCTTCCTTCCTTCACCTCCCATGTGCTGGGGTTGCAGGCCTGCTCTTACATGGGGCTGGGGATGGCCCAGGACTTCCTGCATTCTGGGCTAGCCTTCTACCAGCAGAACTTCCTTCACAGGCCATGACTGGGCATCTTAAAATTGCTGGCTCTGGGGCTGGAGAAAAGCCTCGTGGGTTAAAGCACTTGTTGCTCTTGCAGGGGACAGAAGACCTGGGTTCAAATCCTAGCACCCACATTGTAGCTTACAACCATCTATGACTGCAGTTCCAGGAATCCTGATACCCTGTTCTGGCCTCTACAGGCACGAGGCATGTATACAGCACATACACACACATACATGCAGGCAAAACATCATACACATAACATTTTAAAAGTTGTTATCTGGTACTATTTTCATAAAAGAAAAAAAATGAAGATTTATAAAACTTTGGATGGTATTATAATTTTGGATGCCATTTGGTGGGAGGGAAGCAAGCAAAATTAATAAAAAGGTCTTTCAGAGGCGAGAACTGCAAGGATGAGAAGAAAGTCAGTAGTTAAATGAAGAAACATCTGTTTTCACACAAGAAGACAATACCACAGACCAAACTATAATTTGCTAAAATAGGATTTTAAGAAGGGGTACTGTGACTAGACTTAGGGGGAAGAAAAAGGCAGGGATCACGAAGGCAGGCAAATGTTTTTGCCAAAGAGCAAGACCTCAGAGATGTCCAGGGCGACGTTAAAAAGACAAAGATGCCTAAATAAGGAGGGTTCCAGATGGCCAAGCAGAGACGATTTCAACATCGCAAAGACAGTAATTATGGTCCCTTGGAATAAGCTTGGCTCTATAAAAAGAGCTACAGAGCTCGCAGAGAACAAAAAACAGAAATTGTGCCAAGGAAAAGGCACCCATGAGTTCCTATAAAGTTTATAAACTGTTCTGTCAATTCAACACAACTAACATGAGCCTTGCGCTGGGGATTGGCAGCACTGCTGGCCAGCATACGCAGTGAACAGATGGAGAGAGAGACAGCCAAAGCACAGAACAGAAATGTCTGTGGTTTGATCATTTTACACTAAAATGTGTTGGCTACCCAGAGCTACAGTGACCTAAGAAGCATGGTGAAAAATTTCAGGGTCTCCATCTGAATTGAAGCTGATAGTTTTGGAACAGAGAATATAAAGGGCCTGGTCTGCAGGGTGAGGTCCTGGCAGGTAGAGGGCTCCAGAGGGACAGGCCATCGCTGGGAATGGTGACTCACACTCATTTACTATTTTATAAGTTACAAAGTAGGCTTTGGGCAGAAGTCACTGAGCCATCCAGTAGCGTGACAGTGCTAGCTGTCAACTTGAAAGAATCTGGAGTCATCTGGAGGGTGGGGTTTGAGGCATGCCTGTGGGGGCTTATTTTGATTACTCTGAGTGGGAAGATCCATTTTAATTATGGGTGGACATTTCCCTAGGCAGGTAAGCCTGGACTATATAAAATGCAGAAAGAAGGCCTAGAATTAGCACTCCTCCCCGCTCTGCTTCCTGATTGTGGATATGCTATCACCAGCTGCTTCAAGCTCCTGCTGCCTCAACCTCTCTGTCATGATGGACGTACCCAGCTAAAATAAAGCCTTCCTCCCATATGTGTTTATCACAACAGGAAAAGAAACTAACATATATACGAAGTAAAAAAAACAAAACCAAAACCACCTAAACATTTTCTTAAGATTTACTTTTGTCATTTTGAATTGTGTATCTTTTTTTCTAAATTATGTTTCAGTTGTGGGGGTGTGTGAACATGAGTGCAGGTCCCTTCAGAGCCCAGAAGAGGGCGTCAAATATCTCGGAGCTAGAGTTGCAGGTGGTTGTGAGTCACCCATTATGGGTGCTGGGAACTGAACTTGGGTCTTCTGGAAGAGCAATGTATGCTCTTTGCTGCTGTGTTATCGCTCCAGCCCACAAAAATACACTTTCAATGGACGCCACTCCTTAGTCCATTCTGAAAGACCTGATATTACGAACCAGCTCCACCCACTTTGTCCACTGTAACCCTAACAGTCATTACGGTCATTTCATGGTATTCATAAAGGGTTGCTTCCACCCCCCCTTCTCTCTTCTGAATACCCACATCTGCAGATGCTCAAGACCCTAAGAAGACACAGTATTTGCATATATATATATAACTAATCTAGATTAATCAATAATATAATCTAAGCACTTTGTGAATAGCTGTTAAATGTTCAGAACATACTGACAAGCCTGTACATACTCAGCATAGACACAACCAGAGGCTTAACTACAAAATACACACCAGCCATTGTGGTTGATCAAGTTCTCAGATGAGAAATGGCTTCATATAATTGGCCAGTTGCATAATTAATACCCCAAATGACAGAACTGGTGAAACCTGAACCCCTGTAGCCACGCTCCCTCCTCATTTCCCCCAGCTCAGAGAGAATCACATCAGGTGACTGCAGAAGTGAACCAGCCCCAGCCCTGACACACCCAAGGAGGTCTGCCTAGAAGGCCTGACTGCGTGATACCCAGGAAGTAAAGGCGGTGACCTTATCATCAAAGTGGGAAATAATAACCAGACATATGCACGTAAGAGCCCCCTCTGAGTGTGTGTGTTGGTCTATAGGTGCAGATGTGTGTACGTGTGTCTAGGTGTTCCTCTTCAGGTGTTGTCTTCCTCCCCGCCCCTTTCTTCTTTTTATGTGTATGTGTGTACGTGTGGTGGTGGTGGTGGTGTGTGTTCATGCGTTCAACTGTGAACGGGTGCGTGCATTTGGAGGCCAGAGGTTGATGTCAAGAACCTTCCTTGATAACTGTTCCACCTTATTCTCTGAGTTAAGTTCTCTCAGTCAGATTCAGAGCCTGTCTCAACAGCCAGCTTGCTCTTTCCCCATCTCTGCTTTCCAGGGCTGCAACCGCACGCGTGCTAGCACACCCACCAGCATTTCCACGGGTTCTGGGGATCCAAACTCCAGGCTTCTTGTTTGTAGAGCAAGCGCTTTAACTGCTGAATCATCTTCCGCGCCCCCCCCCCCCCCGCCTCAGTCTCTCACTGGCCTGGAGTTTGCCCATCAGGCCAAGGCTGTCTTGCCGGTGAGCTCCGGAGATCTGGCTGTTACCACATCTCCGAGCCGAGATTACAAGTGTGTGCTACCATGCCTGCTCTTCATGTGGGCTCTGGCGAACTTAGGTCCTCACGCTTGCAAGGCATGTGTTTTATCGATTGGGGTAGCTTTCTAGCCAATGTATT